CTAATATATGTACATATTGCACTAACTCTTTCTTACACACATTAATATGAGCTACGCTACCTATAAACATTCAACTCAAAGCATCCACAACCACATTAATCTTTTCCGGGGTGGTAAAGGACACTCATATCATAATTTTTCAAAAGCTCTAACCACCTTCTTTGTCAGAGATTAACTTATTTTTAGTGAACACATATTGAAGACTCTTATGGTCAGTGAACAGATCTACATGCACTCGATATAAATAGTATCTCCAAATTTTCAAAGCAAACACTATGGTCGCTAGCTCAAGATCATGAGTTGGATAGTTTTTATCATGCACCTTGAGTTGTATAGAGGCATATGCTATCACCTTACCATGTTGCATGAGGAAACAATCAAAACCTACTCGAGAAGCATCACAATACACAACAAACCCTTCGGTACCCTCTAGTAAGGTCAATATCGGAGCGGAGGTAAGCCTATCTTTCAACTCTTGAAAACCTCTTTCATAATCTTTCCACCACTAAAACTTAAATTTATTTTAGTTAGAGTTGTCAAAGGATAAGAAATAGATGCAAACCCCTCAAAAAACTCCTATAATACCCGCTAAACCCAAGAAACTTTGAATGTGGTGTAAGATAAAGGTCTAGGTCAATTCTTAACTGCCTTCATTTTTTTTGGATTGACCTTTATACCGTCACTTGAAACAACATGACCAAGAAAAGCAACCGATCTCAACAAAAATTCACACTTACTATATTTAGCAAAGAGTTGATGTTCCTTAAGGACTTCCAATACTAACCTCAAATGACCCATGTGTTCATCCTCACTCTTGGAATATACCATGATATCATCAATAAAAACATTTACAATTAAATCAAGATAATTTTGGAACACCTTATTAATAATATCCATGAAAGATACCGGGGCATTGGTTAGACCAAAATACATGACTAGGAACTCATAGTGACCATAATTTGTTTGGAAAGTCGTTCTAACAATGTCAACACCTCTCACTCTAAGTTAGTGATAACCCGACCACAAGTGAAATTTTGAAAAGTGATTCGCACCGTGGAGTTGATCAAACAAATAATATAGGAAGAAGATACTTATTATTTATAGTGACATTGTTCAATTGTTGATAGTGAATACACATTCTAAAAGACTCATCTTTATTTTTCACAAATAATACCAGAACGCTCTATGGAGATATGCTCAACTCAAAGAATAGAAATCATCTAAGAAGCTTTAAGACATGAAATAATTTGACCTATAGGGATTGAGTTTCCCCCGTTTCTCTCCAAAAAGGGCTCATTAGAAAACTGGAATTTAACTACCCTTGTTCTACAATCAATTGAAGCAAAAAAAGCATGTAACGATTCCATCCCCAATATGACATCAAAGTCCAACATATCAATTTCTACCAAATCAACCAATGTAACTCTATAGGACAATAATATGTGACTACTCCTATAAACTCTTTTAGCAATCACGGAATCACCCAGTGGGGTACAAACCGAAAAAGGTTCAACTACGACATTGGAGAGAATATCAAACTTCATAGCCACTAGATAAAGTGGCATTGAGATCTAGAAATGCATAAACATTAATTGAAAATACTTGAAACATAGATGTAACAACATTGGGAATACTCACTTGATCACCCCTAGACTTAAGAGCATAAAAGTGGTTCTTCTTAGGAGCATTGCAACTTGGACCACTTTCTCGTGCTTGATTACTCTCCTAACCTTGAGTCTTCGACATAGGACAATTCCTCACAATATCGCCACTCTTTTCACAACCAAAAAAAGTATCCTTACCTATTAGACATTTACCCACATGATTCTTACCACATTTGCACAACTAGATTTCTAATATTGTGAACCACCAACTTTTACCCCTTGAGGCTTAGGGTTAGACACCCTATCCTTTTTAGGCCTTGGGAAATTAAAAGGAACTTTGTTGGAGAATCGCTTCTTAATCTCCGGTTTGTCTTGGATTTAAAATTTATGCTTAGAAGTACCTCCATCATAAGGCGTTGCCCTCTTAGCCTCCCTATTTTTCCTCTTAAGCCTACTCTGCTTAACTTGTTGAGAATGCACCATCAAATGAGAAAGGTCCATGTTTTCATAAAGCATTGCTGCACAACACTCTTCCACAAGATCACCGGACACACCAATCACAAAATGACTCATTTTATCTCTATGATTAGACACAAAAGAAGAGGCATATTTAGAAAACTTACTGAATTTCAAAGAGTATTCTTGCACACTTAAACAACCTTGACGAATATTGATGAACTCTTCGACTTTTGCCTCTCTTTTCTCCCTTGGAAGAACCTATCAAGAAATGGCCTCTTAAAGATTTTCCAACTTTTGGGATCCGCTCTCAAAGCCTTATTGTCTTTTTATAGAGTGTACCATGTTTGAGTCACATCCTTGAGTTGTTAGGCATCTAGCTTGACCTTCCTATTTGAACACACCCCATAGCATACACGATCTTATTAACCTCATCAAGAAAATCTTCATTCACCTTAGACCCAAAGAACATGGGAGAGTTTATCCTTGTGAAGTCCACTTGAGCTTGAGTAGTTAGGACTTGAGCTTGAGTAGTCATGGATTAAGTCAAGTTTAGTAAAGATTCCCTTATCTCCCCATCTGTCATGAACAGAGGAATGACCGAAGCTTGCCCACCTAGAGGAACTTGTTCTTGAGGAGGAGCTTGGTTGTCGTGGGAGGAACTCCTGCATTATCAATCTCCTCTTCAAGCCTTTTTGTGGCTGCCCTTATGTAGTCATAGACTATAACAACAAGAAAAGGTTAAGAAGAAAAGGACAAATAAAGTTAAGACTCTAGAGGCACGACCTAAGAAAAACAAAATAAATGAGAATTTCCTAAGAATCACATAGCCTCTCACTCATAAGTATGACGCGCTTCACAATTATGAACAAGACTTTACATAGATGTGGTTTTGTGAGACATCGTTCCCAAGAGTATTCAACCTCATGCTCTGATACCAAGTTTGTCATGATCGGAGCGTACCCCCTAATTGTAATTGACGTCTTCATCCTCGAAGAGGCCTAAGACTAGCCCTTAGAATACATCATTGAATCATAGGTAAAAATAAAAATACGAAAAATTAAAACTTTTTTTTGAAGTTCAAAGTCACTTCATATATTTAAAAATAGACCACAATTATCTCACACGACCGTCTAGAATATGAGTACAAGATTTGGGACATAGCCCTTATATCATTACAATATGTCTCCTAAGAGAAAACAACATAATCCTTCAAATATAGGAAATAGAACAATGCCTTTGAACATAGTCAAATAACAAAATATAGAATCATAGGCTTCGTCCTCGGACTTAAGGACTCACCAACTTGGGAACAATCAAAGCTTCTTTAAGAATGGGCTTGAAGACCTCAATGGCCCGAACCTACATTTTTATAGAAATAGAAGAGATATGGGTTAGTTAAAGCATATGTAATAAGTATGAAAATATATGCAAGTAAAACATTAAGAAACATGCATAAAAGGACATTTGTTTAAAATCATGCTAAGTTCACTTAAAAGCCTTTATGCACATTCCAAGAACATATACAAGTCCATATCACCACAACAATAAGACATTCTTATTCATGTCCAATAGTAGCATCCTACCGAAGCCATACTCAACATTGCATATTTAAAGTCCATTTCATAGACACATCACAATACCTTACTCACAATTCCAATCCAAGATAACTAATGCAATGTGTATGTGAAGACACATGACCCTACATAAACAAAGTAAACTAGCATACAGATCATAATCATTGTCTTTATCTCATATAACATTATAACAAGTGTAATCAACATCATACGTAAAAATTTATAACAACATTGTGTATATAATGTTAAACCATCATCATATAAGACTAACACCATATATATCATCTATACATAAAGAAACAACCATAGAACTTCCCTAAAGGTCCACTTATGCAATATATAGGTAAAGTCCCATCCCCTTACCTACACTAAGAAATACTTCTTAAGTAGTCCTATTTAGTGTTCATCTTCTTAATTTCATTCATTCATTTTACTTTCGGGAAACTTCGCCATAACTGATAATAAACCATGTGAGCAAAGCATGAAATTCGGTGTCAATCTCTCAAACCTAAATGAGGCCATCCTACTTGCCAAGGTAGAACATATACATCATAATAGAATCTAGGTGGATCTAATATCTAGGTTTTCTAGGGGGCACATAGGAATGACATCTAATCCCTCATAATAATACACCTATCATAATCTCACAATTCATCACATTCATATCATGCTAACATATTCATAACTTCATCACATTCCTATCATACTAACATATTCAAACATCTATGGAATAAAAATATCAAGACTATACCAACATTATTACAATAAAGTGCTTATGACCTTGAAGGTCTTACCATTGGCCTCCAAGAAAATCAATTCCAGACTTCACCCCCAATTTCATTATATTCACCCAACAATTTAGTCAGCATCATCAAATAATAGTAAATTATGAGAGAATACATTCAATTACATCTCAAGATTCTATTTCTAGTGACCTTAACACTAAAGAAATTTTTATTTCCTTGATAAAATCTCTCTCAATATGAAAAACGACTCAAGTCTTAGCCCAAATATTTCTGGGGTGTTACATTGATTTTCTCCTTTCTTTTTTTTAAATAGTTGTATTGTTTCAAATTAAAATAAACTTTAAAAATACATAAATCAGATATATAACAAACTAAAACTTTGACACTTTTAATAAATACTGAAAATGTAGTGAAGGAATCCTATTAAATGCTTAAATATTGAAATTTTTCCCTTGTTAATATATGTGTGGCCCAAATAAAAAAAAGCCCATAAATAATTTTTATTAAAAAAAATTCTCATTTGTCAGACTTATCACTTAATGGACGGACAAGATTACACCTAATCTTCTATAAAATGGTCCTTTCTCTACCATTTAGGGTTTATTCAATATTCTCTTCACTTTTTCATCATTGACGGCAGCTAGGGCAAGGAGGTTAGTAGTTCTTCAACTCCACTTTCACTTAGTTCTTCTCATTAGGTATAACATCTATGAAGATTTTTATGTTAGATTAGTATGTTTTTGCCCCTATTTTGTATGTTTAATATATATGATAGTATGAACATTTGTTCTAGATGTTTATGTTTACAGAAAATTATCTAGGGTATTAAAGTATGACTAGAGCAGATACCTATGATATCTTTATGGAGTAAAACTATGATAACTTTGTTTTACATTGTTAAGGCTATTCTTTGACAAATTTTTTAAATTAAATAAATCCCCTCAGGAAATCTCAAAAGAAATGAGTTATCTTAATGATTTTATAATAGTTGCACCGTCAATCAATTAACACATAATACTAATTTGGAGAAGATCTAGCCATTAATATCATTTTCTAACACAATTTATTAATGACATAAAATCTAACTAATTTATCATACTTACCCACTTAGTCTATTACTCAATTTTTTTATTTTTTATTTTGAAAAAAAGTAAGGTTTAGATAAAAGATTATTTATATACTTGTACTTAATAATCATGTTTTACTTAATTTAGTTCGAAATAACTTTTCAGCAAATTAATGTTTTCCAACACTATTGGTATTACATTAAAGTTATTAATTTTTTTCTTCAAATATTTCTGAGAGTGATTTAACTAAGCATTGATGCATCTACCATGTTTAGTGTTAATTATGGTAAAACAATATTATGTATTTTAGATTTAATTTACTGATTCTTAAAATTAATAATTTAATTATGCAAAATTATTCAAACAAATATTTACTAATTGCTCTTATATATTTTTTGACAGAACGAAGTTTTTTGATGATGAATAATGGCTTTCTTTTTCATATTTACGTTCTAAGTATGATTCATTTACAATATCAATCTACTTAAATAGAAGTAGTAAATGTCAACTTTAGGTACAAACGTAAGAATAACAAACAAAATTATAAATGAGTTTTATTCACTTTCTTCCTTTTCCATGTCTCTAATAAAGGCTAAACTATGGAGGATGAGCTTGATCAAAACAAAGAGATAATGTCATTGAGGCGTGAAAGAAATTTGCTATTGAGGAAAGTTGATGTGTTAAAAGCGATTCACAAGGTTACATTAGAAGCCAAGGAAATGGAAATTGGTGTCCTAAAACAGAAGCTTGACCAACTAGACAGCACTATAATGTTTTACAAAGGTGTATTTGAGGCAACTGAAAGGGAAATTAGACAACTAAACCAGAAGCTTCAGGAACACGACAACAAGCAGTGGAAACTGAAAATGGGTTTACTGTACACTGTGAAGAGTGAGTTGGCAAAGATTAAAATTAAAGAGTTGCAAAATAAAGTCTCTGAATTGGAGAATAAGTTGAAGATTCAAGACAATGCAATTCATCACAAGCTTATTAATGGAAACACACAAGTTGGAGAATATTCTGGTGCAAACATAGATTGATATGTCTAGTGTATTATCGTATTACTTCTACATGAATTATGGTGATAATTTTTTTTGAAGAGAGTTTTTGTTGAACTTTTTAATAGACGTGTAATTGTGTTTTTATTTAATTAAAGTCATTTGGAAAATGAAAAAAATGTGTAAGCATAAAAATATATGGTAAGTAGTTGAAATCCATCAACTACAGGTCTTGTAATTTTCTTTTCACATATTTGAATGAGAAAATGTTTGACGTTTGTCCATTACAATCTTTTTAAGGGTTGTAAAAGATAATTTTTTCAAAAAGTATTTATTTAAATTTTTTATGTCACTTCTAATCAAGCAGTATTTTCAAGAAAATATTTTGGTAAATCATTTTTTCTAATATTTTTTTTATACATAATCGAATTTTCCTGGATAATTATTTTCAAAAAATATTTGTTTAAGACTTTTACGTCACTTCTAATCAAGCAGTATTTTCGAGAAATTATTTTGGTGAATCATTTTTTCTAATATTTTTATGCATAATCTATTTTGCCTCGAAAATAATATATATAAGTTTTTTGTCATTTAAATTTTGCAATTATGTATTGTTATATGATTTACAATCATTAAAGGAAAGTGTAGTTGATGAAAGATCGCTTTGTATTCAAAATTTGAGAATAAGTCGAACAGAAGTCTATTTTTATGTGGCCTTATAGTCCCTAAATTATATTGTAATAAAATAATTCTTATAGATCATATATTTGTATGGATATATTTGAAATACGGTAAAAATGTATGTTTATTAGGTTAAGAATTACCGGTCTTTATGGCTATACTCAAACATCTACGCATAAAAAGTTACATTACACTATGTTTGAATTTGACCATATATTTGATAGAAAATCTAATATTTTAATCTTTTTTAAATTCACATTAAACATTAAATATTCTTACCAAGTAAAATGCTCGTCAAGCATCACTGTCACAATCCAAAATCAAACCATAATTGCAGTTACCATAAACCCTTACTAGGAAAGTCAGAATCTAAATACAAGCACTAAATTAAATAAGCTAATTTTAAAACAAGCTGGAAGAAAATTAGACAAGGATTGAGGCCTTATTAATATGTATACATAATGGTACACAATATACATAAATATCTCGAAAGTTACAGATAACGTCCAAAAATATACTTCTTGAAAGTAATATAAAAAACTGTATGCGATATTTACCGAATTATGAGTCGAAGTCAATTCAATTGAGAATATGGAAGAATATTTTAATATAAAATATTTAACTCGAAATTCGATATTTGAAACAAAAAAAACTAAAAATTGCAGTGAACTAAGTATTCAGTTACATTCAGATTATTAGAAATAATTAGGAATGTATTCCGCATGATTTCATAAAATAGCACGAATATAGTGCTTGTGATTTATTTCAATTTTTAGCATGCAATGTTTGTAAATTGGATATCCCTAAGTGATTGGTCCCCCAAGTAGGGAATTTTACTTCATAACTTGGTAAGTCTGTAGTTGTCTACCGAATGGGGGCATCCTACTTGCATAGGTAGGGCATATGACAAAAGACATAAATGTCTCCTTGAACTTGTACAGAAAAGTCAGTTACACACTTAAACTATTACGACGACCTATTACACAACTAATCTTGTTCAAAGTGATATTAATACCCCCTCAAAACGTGACATGACAAAAAGTGTATTCAGCTTTCTTACGGCGACCTATTACACACCTATTTTATTGGTCATTATACAATTATGTATTACAATTTTTAATATATCAATTATTTCAGTTTTCTTTCTTTTTATTCTTTTTATTGGTGGCTCCAATTTCTATAAAGCATTCACATTCTTCTTAATTTTGAGTTCTTCTTCTTCTTAGGAATCAGTAGACTTGTCACCATTGATTGTTTGATGGAAGTACATCAAAGACTCTACCTTTAAAGAGGAACATATAAAAATAAATAGAGAGAAGTGCAGAATATGATGACTTAAACAATTTTCAACTTAAAATTCATGATTTTTTCGTTCGAACATGCCGGAGGATTCACCGGAGAAGATTACTGAAAAATAATTACGAGAAAGATAATGATTTATATTGAAAATCTTATAATATTTAAGCAAAAATTTCTTGATTATATTGCCTAAATTCATCAAAAATTCATCGAAGAAAGTAATTTCTCCATCTTTGTCTTCTCTATTATCGCAGGAGCACTACCTACAATCACCACAATGTCATTTTTATGTCTCAAATCATCAATATCATATTTGATCAATCATTACCCACTAATAATACTAATGAAATGCTTGATTTACATATTAGTTATCAAGATTTTAAAAGAATTGTACAGATCTGAATATTTTAATTAGTCCCCCGCCAACAATGGTAATGACCATTGCCTATCGCCTCCGACAATATCTCTCAACTTCATAAATGACTTATTGTCTCCTATTTTCTCTTCAATTTTTTCTCTCTCTTCAATTTATGAACAACAGAGAAGAAGAAGAAGAAGAAGAAGAAGAAGAAGAAGAAGAAGAAATAAATTTTAAAAAGATAAAAGTATGGTGAGAGGAGGAAGTTTTTTCGCAAAACTGTGAGAAAATATCAAGAGATTATTGTTTCCAAAATTAAAAAAATATTATTTATTTATGAAAACCCGTGTATAATACTTTTTTTACAAAACTGAGATTGTCTTCGGAAGGGGCTATTAGTATCACCTTGAACAACATTAGGTGTGTAATAGGTCGCCGCAATAATTTGAGTTTGTAACTGAATTTTAGGTATAGGTCCAGGGGGTAATTTATGTGTTTTCCCTTGGACATATACATCATAATAACATCTAGGTGGATCCACTATCTAGGTTTCCTAAGGGGTCACAAAGTTAAGGAACTAGGAGGTTGTTGCTAGAAACCCTCTTTATGCTAATTCGCATCGTGATTTCCACCTCATGAGAACATTGGGTAAACTTACCTTACTTTTGGGAAAATAGACCTCTCAGTGTCAAGTTCACTTGGTGCTAAACTAAATTCTATTTTCAAAGTATCTTAGAGTCTTTCTTAACATTTATTCAGAACATAGGTCTTAGCAGATTAACCCCTAATATATCATGTTCATATCTCCTAGGTTCTAGGATGAGAAATTTCTTTCATCACTAACCAACCTTATGTTAGAATATCACCTCATAAACATAGTAATAAGATGCACACAGGAATGACCTCGAATCCCTCATAATAATACACCTATCATCATCTTACTATTCATTTCATTAATATCCTGCTAACATATTCATAAATTCATCACATTCCTATAATACTAACATATTAAAACTTTAATGGAATAACATTATTAAGAATAGATCAACATCATTAAAATAAAGTGCTCATGACCTTGAAGATCTTACCATTGGCCTCCAAGAATACCCATTCAACACTTCACCCCCAAATTCATGATATTCACCCAATAATTCAGTCATCATCATCATATAATAGTAAATCATGCAATAATACATTTAATTACATCTCCCTTAATCATAAATCAATCTAATTCACAAGTTAGGGTTAGGAGAAGAGGGGTATTCATGGGTTTTTTATGGAATTTGGTCAAAGCCTAAAGTAGTACATCAATCCACCCATAACCACGAAAATTTCAACATTAATAATCAAATTAAGACTAATAAATCTAGTTAGAAAGAAGACCTATGAAATTGGACGAAAACCAGGTTTTGGAAGAACAATGAAATGAAAATTTTGAAAAACATCTTCGGAAAAGGAGTCCAAAGAGTGAATAGCCTCCATACATCAAGAATCCTTTGATATTTGTTAAAAAAAGTCTTGTTCTTGAATACCTATAGAAAGCTTGATCTTCTTCTTCAATGGGGTCTTTGGAGTAGTTATAGAAACTATAGAGAGATGAGACCTTTTTGGTTTTGAGAGTTATGGTGTGTTAGGCTAGTTTAATGACTAAGGATACTTTAATATCCCTACAATAACTAATTATAACCGTCCCTACATATTATTTAATTGATTAATTAATTACTCAATCACCCCCACTTAAGTCGTGTAGATACAGTGAAGTTGGGGTCAAACAACGAGACCTCCTCAACGCCCCGTCAACCACACCACGGGCCATCCTGGACAAGCATGGTTTGAGACTGCGGGTAAGTTTTTGGAACCATGGGGTACGCCACTAAGTATGGACTCACGACCACCATCGGTGGCCCGTCATCCCCCACCCTCGTGGTTCCAAGCTATTTTTTTTGACAACTATTAGGGTCAATTATTTGGTCCTGCTCAATGAACTTAGGGTGGTCCTTGGGGAGTCGTACCCAGTTGTTTTGATACTAAATGTATAGTAACATATATTCAGAGTCTTATTACAAGATTCAACCCTCATACGACTCTTTAAACCCCTTCAAAACCTAAAGGCACACTAGATCACTTTCACTAGTCTCCGGACGTCATGGTCATTTATTAATGTTTAGACTCTAATACTTACTAATCAATTTAATTACCTTTGTTTACGCCTATAAACACTATTTTAGACTTTAGAATCTAGGTGAGGCTCTAGCTAGGTCATTGAATTTCCGAGTTATAACAATGGAAGCCATATATATGACTCTTCTTATTCTCTTACTTACTTCCTCAAAACTTAGTTCAAATTAATACTTTATCTCAGAGGATTCTCAATTGAAAATCAATGCCTTTCTTGAACCCTACTCTGAAATCTCTCTTGAATGTGAATTATGAATTCAAGAGTTATGGTTCATGATATGAAAAATCTCATAATGACAAAGTAGACTTATGAATAGGTTTTCTTCATCATCATATTCACTTGCTCGAGTATTGATACAAGTTACTCGAAGTTGTATAAGACTTCTCAAAAAGACTCTCTTAAAAGGTTCGGAAGAACTCCCAAAACTTAATATTAACTTTAACTTGGATTTAAATTAATAATATAAGGTTACGATTAATGTCATGAATGATTTTTAAGTGTTTAGAACCAAAAGGATTGAAGATACACTTTCAATTATCTCAAACGGGAGAACCGACAGAAAAGAAGTGGGAGAAGGAGACCCTTGTATGTTCCGATCGTGGGGTGCCAACCCTTGATTTCAGAGACAGCATGCTTCTTGGGTTTAACTGGAACACGCCGCACTAGCATCTCCCCAGGCAAGGTTTTGATGAATTGTTGCTCTAGTTTTTTTTACCCTGAA